CACACACACACACACACACACACACACACACACACACACACACACACACACACACATATACAGTATATACAGTATTTAAGATGCCAACCCTGCATGGAAAAACTCAATTTACCATTTTTGTTAAAAAATGATCATGTATAAAATGAAATGTTGCAACATAAAACAACATGATATGATTAATGTGATGCAACATGGGACAAAACAACACAATAGAATATAATCCAACACAATATCACTGTTAAAATACAATTTGGCAATATATTACAATATGATCATATGCAAAACAATATAATTTTCTACATTATTATTGTTACTTGCTGTCAAGGCAAACATCTGCAGATGTAATTCTGACCAACATGCTGTAACATCTGGCGGCTACCTGATGAACAATCAGGTTCACCTCATTGTGGCCTTTGAGAGATTATTTCCCCTACACTAGGTGGCACTGTGTACTTATTTCGTTCTTTATTCTACAACACCAGCTGTAAAATTACACATCCAGCTGTGGCCAAAAGTRCAAAAGCATAAAAGGCTAAAACTGATTTTTCTAATAACTGCTTTCACTTTCAACTTTTAAAATGGACAAAGCTGCCACCTACAGAGTGTAATCATATGTTTCTGAGGCAAAAAAGCAAGATTTTATAGGCAGTCTGCCAGGTTCTCTCAATAACAGCTTCTCCTGAGGTTAAATGATGTAAATGTATAACAATTACCAGAAACACAACCACTTTTACCCCCACTAAGAATATGAGCTGCCTCACTTTGACAACTAAACTCTCCAGCACACATTTTCCATCAACACCTTTCTTCCACGTTTTTGTTTTTCACTGATTTGACTAATTGCCTCCTACCCACACAACTGAAAATGTTTTAATTCACTTTGAAACAGACTGGCAAAGCAGATTAATATCTGTAATTAGAAATAAAGTGACAAAAGTATTTCTCAAATTATGAGTACAAAAAAAACCCTGCTCAAGGACAATAAAAATCACTGCCATTGTTTATAACTCAATACACACTGTGCATAGATATTCACAAATTCACATGTTGTGTCACTCTGAACAGGGTTAAACAGGGATATGTGTTCATTTGTTATCAATAATCTTAACAAAACATGATTAAAAAAACAATCTCATCTACTAATGCACAGGTTTTAGTGCAGATCTGCAAGGTTTTATTTTGTTTCCTCCTGCTTTTATTGGTCTTTTAATAAAACATCAACATTGCATGAGAGGCACGATGTGATAAAATCAGTAAACAGTGGTCAAAATTCGATCTCAACAACAAAAAGGAGCGACCAGTTCGAAAGCTCAAATCCTGGATCAGCAGAATAAAAGCAAAGCAACAAGATAATCAATCTACAGTTGGTAATTAAAAGGTTCAACAGCTTAGTGTTTTTGCCTGCCAGACTTATAAGTGACAGTCAAATTCTAATGACTTCATTATAAGCTTTACCACGAGCCAGACCGATGCAAATAAACACAATTTATGTTGACAGAGTTTCCACTTTTAATTAGGATTCAGTGAACAAAGGGAACAACGCAGATCTGTAAACCTCTTGAGCCCAACTTCAACCATCACTGCGCTCCAAAAACAGGGAACAATGACAAGCCTACTGAGCTTTAATAAACGACTTCAACGTAMAGCTCCGCTCTAACAAAACCAAACAAGTTAAATGCAAAGAGTAGTTTTAACACTTGACTTTGCGTTTTGTATATATAAGTTATAATGAATAGATTTAGCCCTGAAGAAACTACGGTAAACTGAGTTAAAAAATACTGGAATTCTATAAACAACCAGAAACACAGAAAGACACAAAGAGGTCAAGAATTTATATGTGTAAACAGAAAAAAGACCCTTTCTCCTTAAAAAAAAAAACAAAAAAAAAAAAAACAAGACAAGCAGACAGACGATCTGAGGCTGAAGGTGAAGTAGAAAGACAGCCACATTGATTTCTGGAGTGGACAGAGAAAAATATATATCTATTATCAGGAACAAATTACAGGTCATTTTTTAAACTGTTTTTTTCCTACCTTTTGGAGAATCACTCAGCCATTACATTTTTTTCAGCATCTTCCAGAGTCCAGATATTACATAGATTACTCAGTTTCAAACCAATCTCTTTAATGAACCTGTGAAGATGGAAAATCGTTTGATTGCCAAGCTAATATTTCCCAGGAAGTTCGTCAATGCTGAACTGATCGCTGAATTCAAGGAGGTAGAGGTGTCTAAAGGTGCAAACAAAATCAAATCATAGCAAAACCAATCAGAACCAAGGTTTTCACTCGCTCTCTGGTCCTAGACATGTTGGGTTTTGTAAAACGTGTCTGCGAAGGCGGATGATGAAGACTGGAGGTTGAATACGAAAATAACTTTTGTAAATTAAGTAACTTTGTTTTAATTTAAGGCCGAGCATTCCTTTAAGAAAACACTGAGCTCTTTTCATGTCAGAGTTTTTAACCATCTGATGGTGAGAAGAGACAACGTTATAAAATGATTGGTCAACACTTAAAAATCATGTTCTGAGTGATCTCACAGCTTTATGACATCTTATGAGACGTGTCAGTGCTCAGAGAAGGTTTAGAGGATGACTCTCAGCTACTGATAAAAGATGTTTTAGCTCAATATTTGCAAAACTGACTGAGTTGTAGCTATTTTAGTGCTTCCTAAGGTCAGTTAGCTGAGCATCTTGAAGTGAAATAACTCCAAATGTTAATCATTCAGCCAGGACTTTCATGACTTTCATGAATGTGTCCAGTGTTTTATAACATACAGACAGACAGTCTTCTGTCTGAGTTCCATATGGTCATTTTTAACTAATTTAGATTTTACCCCCCAAAAATAATGTGATATAATTTTCTTTTTCCAACACATGAACTGTGCTAATTTAAACTATTTTTTTCATTTGAATATACTGTTATTGTATGTTAGACCTTAATGCAATCAATCAATCAATCAATCAATCAATCAATCAATCAATCAATCAAATAAAAATCCAAGTGGGCAAATTTATTCGTGAAACCCACAAACGTTTATGATTTTTATCTTTTTGAATGCCAATGTGTGATGTGCATTTCTAAAACTGATGTTAAAACGTTTTAAGCAACAATTTTATAAAATTATCAGTTAGCACAGTTTGGACCTAGTCCACACATGATAATGGCTTTGTTTATTTAAAAGCTAAATGCATGGTTTAAAAAGTTAGCAAACTAGAAAAACAAATACAGCCACCTACATGACTACCATCCTCCTCCCGATCACGTAGTTCTCCAGACTTAGGTTCCAGTGAGGATAAGGATGATGATGCACCAGCAGAAAATAAATGTCAGTTTTGGACACTTGGCTGAATTTGCTTTTTCTTTTCTCTCAATTTTTGTTCGCCTCCCTTACATTATTCTCCACTTTTGCTCTTCTTATTTTTTATTATTCTTTTTCTTCTTCTTACTTCTTCTTCCTCTTCTTCAGCAAAATATTCTACTTCTAAGTTTTTGGTCTTTGTTGGTGGTTGGTAAACAATGAATTGGTGCATTATYACCATCTACTGGTACTGAGAGCAACTACACAACTTTTATTCAGTGTGCATTGCCAATGCAATGCACACTATTGTGATTCGTCTCCCATCCAAGTCATCTCAACTTTGCCATGCTTCTCCTCCTGCAAACTTTGTCCTAGAGCTGCCATTGTAATTTATATCTGTAAAGGTCCTGTGCCAAATGATGGCTATACCTTTTGCTGCCTGAACCACTTGTAGTTTTTGAAATATTAATGTTTAAACTTTATTCCAAATTCATAAAATGGGAGTAAATGGGGCCTTGTAATGTCCAATACTGCCCCCTGCTGCATCTACACAATATGGTACTGCACCATAGTTTCATAAAATTTAAACTCAGTAGTTCAGTTATTACAATATTAATATGATTGTATTTTGATGTTTTACCATATCATTGTCTTAATACTGCTCTATTGTTGTAATATTATGCAGTTTAGTGTCAATAATTGTATTGGCAATGTGGCCTCTTTCTGCACACATACAAACCAACCCCTGCCACCACCTTCTGCCACAACTCCATTGGTCTAATAGTCTATGTCATGGACTTTCATGTGGGAGATCAGGGTTCAAAACCCAGCTAATGCAAATTTAACTAAAAATCTCTTCCAACTTCATATTGTCACTCAATTACCTTAATTAAAAACACCTGCAGATGTGACAGGCACAACCTGGTATAGAAAACACATTTGATCCTGGTCAAAGYTCATTCTGCAAGTCCAACGCTGCAGGCAAAGCCATGCTGCAATGACATGCAACGTGGCAATGCACACTTGTTTTTACATCGTAAAAACTCATGTCTAGTTTATTTTATTTTTTCCTCGCTGCCTGCGCTGACCCAATGATGCACCGGCCCATCGGGGAAAGTCCTGGYACTCCCAATGGCCGGTCCGCACGTAGGAAAAGGAGTGAAAAAGGAGCTTGTGGAGTTACAATAAAGAGGAATTCAGACCAAAACATAGCAGTTCTACTTTATGTAGACCCCAACTGAATGATTGAAATGTAAAAAAGAAGAATTTTAAAGTTTGATATGTTTCCTTTAAGGTTCCATTGCTGCCAATTTTAGAAGTTAATCTGACGTCATTCTAATGACTTTCCGGGAGTTTAATTAAAACCTTCTATAGGTCATGAGATACTGCTGACACCACAGACAAACAAACACAAAGAGGCTCAGGCTAAATAGATTTTAACAATGTTTATGCTTTTCAGCAGGGGATTGTTATGTTAACAAAACTAAAGATTTTGTGATTCAAATCAGGTTTTAATTAGTTGTTGCTGAAGTTTTAATGATACATCTAAGGAGTCAATACGTTCAGATGTAGACCAGCGGAGGACAAACTGACAGACAGATTGCAGGGGTCTGAAACTCATTCAGTAGATCAACATGCAAAAAGGACTTCCACACTGTTTGCTCTGAAAATAGACTTTGTATGTATTATACTATATAAAAAAGAGGAGAAAATCAAACATAGCCTACCTCTACATACCTAGAAGAGTCAGAACACAAAGGCAGTATGAGTTAAAATGCTGTATTTACTTGATTGGGAGTGATTTGGAACAAAAAGCTTTTTGATTGAACTCTGCCTGCCACATCTTCAGTGAACAGAGCGTGCGGCACAGATGTGTCGGCTCAGACGTGTCTGCAATACACACGGCTTSGAACAGACGGGTGTAATCAGTAATCAGTTTTGCCATTAAAGTGGGCTGATGGTATCTCTCCTTTTTGTGAGCAGCGTGGAAACTGCAAAGTAATGCTGCCATTAAGAAAAGAATCCAGAACACCTTGTCTTGAGTCTGGGTTTTTCAAAACAAATTAAAATTGCCTGCGTTTGTGGTGGGGGAAAAAAAAAACTCCTTAGCATCTGGAATTAAATGTATCATTTAAAGACAATTGATAGAAAAATCATCATAAACAATTTTACTATTTGTCTAAAAAGGTGTTCTACGAAAGAATCAACACTGAAACACACCAATTACGCTGAGCAGACAGCTTTGCAAAAATAGATTGTACGTGTCACAGAGAGGTCAGAACTAATAATCACAGAGGTAAATGTAGGCCTGCGGTGTGTTTTCTCACACACCGCACTGCTTTTCCTCATGTTTGTCTATGAACTCCACACAGAAATTAAATTGACTCATTTTACATGAATGATTTATTCATGGGGCTGCAACCTCCTGCTTATCAGGCAGAACATTATTTTTTTCCATCCCCTTTTTTTAAAACAATAACGTTTTAAATCAGGGGTTCCAGATCTTGTGCGAATGGTAAGTGAATGCTTGAGAAGCAGAGTGCAAAACTTGTTTTATTTTCATTCTTAACAGTCTCTGACATTGAGTTTTCTTTGCTATGAGATCGTTGTCCTTMTCTCAAAATCAAAGAAAAAGACTCCTCAAAACATGATTGGGAATGTCTGGCAAAAGGTGTTAAGACAWACAAAGAACTTGAAATCAAATGGTTATCATCTACTATTAGTGATTTATCTCAACAACCGGTTTGCTTCTGATTGACTGCCTCTGCAAATTTAATATAAAACCAGACTGAAAACGTGCCAACTTCGTCTTCCAGGATTTGCAGGTAAGTCGTGTGTCTACAGTCAGACAGACRCTGAACAAATTTAAACTACAAGGAATGTCTGCCAAGAAAAAAGACGTCTATCCTATAAAAAAGAAAACGAATAAAGAAAAACAAGCATTGTGCTGGTGACTGACAACCCAGAGAAATCCAATCCCATTATAAAAAACTGACTAACTTATTGCATTTTCTGTGAAACTGCAATGAATACTGGGCTGAATGTCATTTCTGAAATGTGCTGATGAAGGCAAAACTAAGTTGTTAAAGTTAAAATACAGAGAACAGAAGCTAAAAGTAGCCAATAGATGAAAGAAGTCAAATAGTACAACAAGTAGCAAATGGATAACATATAGCTAATTGCAGCAAAACAAAAAGTCTGCTTTAATTAGCAAAACTGTGAATAAAAGATAAAAGTAGAAATGAGCTGAAAGCTGAATAAACAAAAGGACAACTAAAGGCTAAAAGTTGGAAATGGTAGCTAAAAGCTAAAATTAGCAGAATATTGGCTAAGAGGTAAAAAGAAGTAAGAAAATAGACCAAGTGCTGAAACAGATTTCAAAGACAAGAATACTGTATTTTGTGTGTTTTTATAGGAGATCATTTAAAAAGTATGTAACCCTTTTACCACCTGGCTCGCTATATTGAGGCAGTGATTACTCAGTAGTCAACTCTCTCTATTTCACTGTGATAATAAATGTGGTAAAAAAAGACATTCCAATGTATAAAAAAACGGTGTCTAGGTTAAATATGACTCTCGCTAGTAGTTAAGATTNAAGTATAACATTTACAAAAAACAAAAGTCATATGCAGGACTGATAACAGGATGAAGCTATTAACAGGAAAACAAGTCTGAATGCTGACTCAGCATCCATGCACAACAGTCTATTTTTCTGTGCATCTAAGTCAAACCCAGTCATTCTTTTGCAATCATTCAATAGTGTGCCGTCCTTCAAATAACAAATAACACGTTCCACTTGACGACTGATTTCTATTCAGTTACAACCAAATATTTTTGAGGTAAGACAAGATACATTTTCAAAAGTTCTTCCTGACAGCTGTGTAACCCGGAGATGAAATGTCCTGGTTTGCTCCATCGCATCAAGGTCTGGGTATGTGGGGGATCATTGATTAAACTGTAACTTCTGCTTCATATAAAAGAAGATTTGAAGGTTTGAGGCAACCTGTCTGCAAGCTAAAGTTGGACTGAAAACTCACAAATACATTCAGCAAGCTGCCAGTCAAAAAGTACAAGTTAAAGATTAATCAAAGTTCTGATTTGAATTTTAATCAGAGGTTAATAAAGACACGCAATGATTTTAATAACCTGGTGAGGAAAGACATTATGTAAGGGAGATAACTCTGAAACTTTAAGCAAAAGACTGTAGCTATGCGTAACCCTAAACATAAAATAATACTTCACTGTTGCTTTTCAAATCATTGTGTTTTGTCTGCATTCTATTGTTTTACTGAATGTTTCAGTTGAGAAGTACAGCACAATCTTGTGTTTTATGAAGCTATGCATTTAAGTCATTGTTTTAGAGAAAAGATGCTGCTCTGCGATGATGTGACAAGATCATCCTCATGTCTTCAAACAATCAGCCAAATCTACTAAAGAATTTAACAGAAAAATCTGCAGACATGAAGCTGATTCCCAGAACTCCTCTGGAGGTGTTTACTCTGATTCTTCTGAGAAAATGACACTGACTCATTGTTATCCCTCAGGTATGACATTTTAATATCCTTGTTTAATGATTTCAGACCCATTGTTCAGAGCATGTCTGAAATAAGCTTTTGTGTTTAAGTGAGCCTTCAAACAAGAAATATGAATTTCAACAAAGCTGACTGMTTTGTTTGACCTCATCAGACATGAAAAAGAAAATGATTTTTCAAAAATGCTCTGCATAAAATCAATATTGGATAGTAAAAGTCTACTTTTTTCTACTTTTTTCTTGCAAAGAACTAACAATGGTTAGATTTTTTTTTGGGGGGGGTGTACAGAAAGTGGAGAAAAAACAGCTGCAGTGAGCGAGACCTTCGTTAAAGATTTATTTACCTGTCAGACAGCAACAAGAACAAAAGCCATAGGCTATGAAGGAATGGATTGAAAATGCCCTGTAGTGCGAACTCCAAAGCTCAGACCAAATCAGAATTTGTTGCAGGATGTGGAAATTGCCTTTTACTCACCATTCCCACTCTCAGTACATCAGTGTTTTACACAAGAGAGAGGTGCATTGGGCCAGATGTGCAGTGCCGATAAACTTAAACCTGAGGGCAGTTCTTTCTGTTTCAAAGGGAAGAAAACGAAAGATGTGATGTTATGCAATTTTAATCACTTACAATACATTTTCATTTTGTATTTTTTTTACCTTACTGTTCATATTCATAACTGATAGTCGACCCACCGTGTTGAACCTTGAAATAATGCATAAAGCTTGTTGCCTTGCATACCAAAGTTTTACACAAAGATGATCTGTCAGATTGTGTGTGAAACACCAAGTTTTTTGCTCATTAGCTGTAAAATTGGCTGAGTTTTAGCCATTTTGTGTTTGCTAAGAATGATTACCTGTGGCAGCCATATTGAATCAGGTTGACCCCAGAACTTAATTAGTTGTCGAGGTAATTGTATTAGTTACATTCTGGGAGTTTCATTTAAATTCAATTCAGTGGTTTATGATATTTTTTGTTAACAAACAGACTATGCTGATAAAACTGCATTCCTGTGCWGTGGCATTAGAAACAAATTGATAAGTGCGTGTTTTTCCGCCTCTCCTTCCAATTTGGCGGTGCCCTAATATTCAGTTTATGTTGAAGTTGTTGCCTCTGAAAAYACATTTCCATCAAAAAATAACACCCTTGATATATTGCAGATGTGCATATTTGTGTAAAGAGTTTGAAAAGCAGCCATGCAAGATGTGCACAGATAGTTACACTTTTAAATAGCCTAATCTCAGTCAAATTGCATTTTGTATCATAGCCCGGTTAAAATAAACTAGTGACCAGTTGGTGACTTTTATTTTGTATAATAAAAATCTAAAAGCGAAGCATCCCAGTGTAGCTTGTTCCGTGAGTGTTGTTTTATTTTGAAAGGACAAGCCGGAAGCTTGGCCCTTTATGCTCTGAACTTGACCACATGGGTTAAGAGCGCCGGAGAAAACCCAGCAGACTTGCAGTCGGTACATGAAGAGAGGACATAAAACAAGACATTGAAGTTGTTTTAATTTGAACGGTATTTTTTTTAATCTCCATTGCTCGTAGGGTGGATTTAAATCTCTGTGAGGATTTTGTTTGTTTCTTTTTAGTTGTTATTATTTATTTGAATTCCTTTTCTTTCTGAACTGCATGTGGGGATGGAGAATCATCACTTTGGAGGGAAGACTTCAGCTGGAGAGCCTGTGGAGTGGAGCGTCTCTGCAGATTAGATTAGATTAAAATCAGCTGTTAAACAATGAAGTACGGACCGGTGGTTCTGACGGCTGGACTCACAGGTTTGCTGAGCTTCAGCCTCCTCGCTGTGGCTATTGGGACTGATTATTGGTACATAATCGATGTGAATAAGCCCAACCACACCGGTCCGGATGACCTGAGCTCACACTCTGGATTATGGAGGATCAATGAAGGTTACAGTTTTTAATTTCTCATAATCTGTTTTTCTTCTATTAAGCACAATTAAAGTATAAAATCTCGTGTAACTTTTGTTTCATGGACAGATTTAAGATTTAATCAGATTTAAAACAGTTTTCCACAGTAAATAATGACTTCAGATCATTTGTGCATCACATGTTGAATGTATCAGTTTATTTCTCCTCTGTTGTTGCTGCTGTATTGTGCTGATGATCAGCATCCCTCCTGATTAAACCCTGTGAAGGAAGCAGAAACTGCACTGATGCTCAGGTTGTGGTAGTGAGGCAGAGAGGATGCCAGAGGAGTGAGGATTGGTGTAGTGTGCATGTAAAAATATGCTGAGTTATTAAAGTTTGAAATGAAAAAAAAAATCACATTTATAACTATTATAATGAGCCAGGTGCTTTTTGCAAAAATGTGTAACGAAACCCGTGGCAGCTCACATCCTCCTCAGCTCAAGAGCTTGTTAAGCAGTTATTCRGGATATTTTATGATCTTTGTAGTCAGCACATGGTAATTTCGGATGTGCTTCATCTGCTTCAGCTGAAAACGACAGCTCAAATCCAATATGAAGCCTTTTTTTTTGTCCATCCACATCAGCAGCTGAACATTGCATCTCAAACTAAAACTTGCAGATCAGTTTGATTTTGTGAGGCACAAAAAAATGTGTTCCCTTTTGAATAAAATGTTACAACAAGACATTAAAGAGTAACTTACCCCAAAATTAACTTTTTTTTTAGCTGATAAACTGTCTAGAATGTGTCTAAAATGTTATATAGTACTGTTTCTGCGCCAATTTGGATGTTTTTGTGCGTATTTGTTCAAATCTGTAATATTTGGTCTAAAAACGTGTTTTTGCTGCTCATATGGGTAGAGCAGTGGTACTGCAGGATAATTTGCATATTGGTTAACAGCTCTCCATAGTGACGTGTCTTCTGCACAGTTTCGTCACAGCGGCTGTGTTCTGGTATAAAAGCCTCTCTCTAAGACACGCCCCTGCAGCAGTCAGAGGGTGGA